CAGGTGTCTACTCCCATTTTCTCAGGAACCCCCCTCAAACCAGGCTTTCACCCCAACACTGCCCTAAGACAGTGCTTGTCAAGGCACGGGAGTCATGCAGATTGGTAGATCCGGTTGTCCATCCTCAGTTCTCATCTTAGCAGACCTATCAGCAGGTTAGATGCAACTGGTCACGCCCCCTCCTCGAAGCGCTGTCTGTACCTGGCCTCCGGGACATCAGCCCCTCTCTTAGTCGCCCTCCTTCCCAGTTGTTGAACCCTTAGATCTTGTAGCATTGGGCTCAGCCTCCAGCCCTCTCCTCTCTTGTCTTCTGCACTCACTCCGCTACGCCCCACCCCTTGCCTGGTGAGCCAATCTGCCCACATCATCTCTCTGACCCCTAGATTTATGGATCTGACTGTGCTCAGTCTCCTTCTCTTGGATGTCTCCTGTTGTTGTTAGCTGATCTGGAGTCGGCCCCCCCAGATTCATGGCACCCCCATGCACAATAGAAAGAAACACTGTCCAGCCCTGTGCCATCTCCGTGATCGCTTGCAGATGGGACCATTGTGATCCACAGGGGTTTTTTTGGGCTGATTTTTGGAAGTAGGTCACCAGGCCTTTCTTCCTAGTCCATCTTAGTTGGGAAGCTCCACTGAAACCTGTTCAGTATCATAGCAACACACAAGCCTCCACTGACAGACGGGTGGTGGCTGTGAATGAGGTGTACTGGCCAGGAATTGAACCTGGGTCTCCTGCATGGAAGGTGAGAATTCTACCGCTGAACCACCAATGATCTCATGGACATCTCAAAGAAGTCTCAAACTTCACACGGCTCAAACCGAATACCCCAAACACCAACCTACCCACAGTCTTCCCATCTCCTCTCTGACGCCTGTCTTTCTCTCACCCTTAATCAGATGCCTCAGCAAGTCCTGTCAAAACATGACCCTTTCCACTCCTTGCACCCCCTTACCAGCAATGTTCTGGTTCAGCCACCCCATCCCTTATGTAGCTTATTGCAGAAGCTCCCTCTTTGGACTCTTGCCCCCTGCTATTCTCAACCCAACTGCCAGACTGAGGCTTTACAACCAAGTTGAGGCGTGTCCTGCATTTGGTCAAAACCCCCCGTCTTAGTCATCTAGTGCTGCTATAACAGAAATACCACAGGTGGGTGGCTTTAACACGCAGAAATTTATCTTCTCACAGTTTAAGAGATTAGAAGTCCCAATTCAGGGCGCCGGCTCTAGGGGAAGGCTTTCTCTCTCTACCGGCTCTGGGGAGGGTCCTTGTCTCTGTTCAGCTCTGGCCCTTGGCTCCTTGGCGACCATCACGCAGTGTGGCATCTATCTTCCCCCGTACGTGCTTGCTGTCTTGGTTGCTTGCTCAATCAGCTCTTTTTAGATCTCAGAAGAGATTAAGACCCACTACACTAATCCCGCCTCATTAACGTCACTGAGACAACTCATTCCCAAAAGGGGTTATAACCATGGGTATAGGAGTTAGGATTTACTGTACATATTTTTGGGGACACAAGTCAGTCTGTAACACCTCCCCAAGTGGATGAAGGTCTGTGGTTGACAGTAGCCCATGAGGGCCCAGATGCCCCGCCCCGCCACCCTCCGACCCTATCTCCCCTCCTCCCTTCCTCTGCTGGCTCTCCAGCCACAAGGACCTCCTTGCTGTTTCTTAAACACATCAACCCTGCACCTACCTCCGGACCTTTGCACATGCTCTTCCCTGTGCCCGGAATCTTCTTCTCCTAAAACGTTCGTTGCTCACTCCCTCACTTCCGCCAGTTCTTGGCCTAATTCTCACCCTCTTGGTGAGGCCCTCCCTGGCCACCGTGGTGACTGCCCCACCTCCACCCCCCGCATGCCATTTCCCTCTCCAGAGCACCCATCACAGTCTGACATGCTGGTTTATTGGTTTAGGATCTAGAGTTACAAACCCCATGGCAGCAGGGACTCTGTTTCAATCATTGCTGTAGCCTCCGTATCTGGAACCTGGGGCGTCTGCCGTACAGCAAACCAAACCCATTGCCATGGAATCAATCTGACTCACAGCGACCCCTATAGGACAGAGTGGAACTGCCCCAGAGGGTTTCCAAGGAGCAGCTGGTGGATTTGAACTGCTGACCTTTTGGTTAGCAGCCGAGCTCTTAACCACTGCGCCACCGCAGGTGCTGGTGAAATATTAATTGAATAAATAAATTAAGACTGTTTATCAGTTTGAGTTTATTCATAGCTAATCTTCGGTTTTTCCCTCCTTCCCCTCTTTTTTGATGAAGTTTTCTTTATCTTCTCGGTGCCCCTTTTAATTGGTGTGGGAGTTATAGGTTCTTTTTCCTGTTCCTCTGGTGGTTATCCTGGCCTTTCAACATACAGGTCTAGGTCTCTCGGGTCTTAAGCCAGTTGCTCATGGCAACCCCATGTGTGTCAGAGTACACCTGTGCCCCACAGGGTTTTCAATGGCTGATTTTTCAGAAATAGATCACCAGGCCTTTCTTTCGAGGTGCCCCTGGACTTGAAACTCCAAGCTTTTGCTAGTAGCTGAGTGAGTTAACCGTTTGCACCATCCTGGGACTCCCTCTTAGGCCTTAAAAAACTTGTTGCCATTGAATTGATTCTGACTCATGATGCCCTCACGTGTTACGGAGTAGAACTGCTCTATAGGGTTTTTTCTGGCTGTGACATTTACAGAAGGAGATTGCCAAGCCTTTCTTCTGCAGCACTGCTGGGTGGGTTTGAACCTCCAATATTTAGGTGAGAACCCATTGCCAACGAGTCGATTCCAACTCATTGTGACCTTATAGGACAGGGCAGAACTGCCTGATAGAGTTTCCAAGACTGTAATCTTTGCCACCAGGACGGTATCCTTTGACCATACTTATGCAATCTGTAGGCTGAGGAAATGATCTGAGAAGCTGGATTATATGAAGAAGAATGGGGCATCAGGATTAGAGGAAGGTTCATTAAAATCCTGCAATAAGCAAATTACACAACCTTGCTTGCTGTAAGCAAAGAGGACTTGAAGACCTCACTGATGGAGATCAAAGACCACAGCCTTCAGTATGGATTACACCTCAACTTAAAGAAAACAAAAATCCGCACAACTGGACCAATAAACAATATCATGATAAATGGAGAAGATATTGAAGTTATCAAGGATTTCATTTTACTTGGATCCACAATCAATACCCATGGAAGCAGCAGTGAAGAAATTAAAGGACATATTGCATTGGGCAAATTTGTTGCAAAAGACCTCTTTAAAATGTTGAAAAGCAAAATGTCACTTTGAGGACTAAGGTATGCCTAACCCAAGCGATATTTTCAATTGCCTCAGATGCACGCAAAAGGCAGACAATGAATAAGGAAGCAGAAGAAGAATTGATGCCTTTGAATTATGGTGTTGGTGAAAAATATTGAATATACCACCGACTGCCAGAAGAAAGAACAGGTCTGTCTTGGAAGAAGTACAGCCAGAGTGCTCCTTGGAAGCAAGGACAGCGAGACTTCGTGTCATGTACTTAGGACACGTTATCAGGAGGAACTGGTCCCTGGAGAAGGACATCATGCTTGATAAGGTAGAGGTCAGCGAAAAAGAGGAAGACCCTCAACGAGATGGACACAGTGACTGCAACAATGGGCTCAAACACAGCAACAGTAGTGAGAATGACGTAGGACCGGGCAGTGTCTTGTTGTATATGGGATCGCTTTGAGTCAGAACCGACTCGATGGCACCTAACAATAACAACAATCTTTACGGAAGAAGACCTCCACATCTTTCTCCTCAGAGTGGCTGGTGGGTTCGAACTGCTGACCTTTCAGTTAGCAGCTGAGTGCTTAACCACTGCGCCACCAGAGCTCCTTAGGTGAGTAGTCAACTGTAAACCATTTGCACCAACGAGGAACCTCCCTGTGTGGCGCAAACGGTTGACGCATTCACTGCTAATTGAAAGGTTGGATGTTTGAACTCACCCAGAGGTGCCTCAGAAGAAAGGCCTGGTGAGCTACTTCTAAAAAGTTAGCCACTGAAAACTCTGTGGAGCACAGCTGTACTCTGACACACATGGGGTTGCCATGAGTCAGAAATGAATCGATGGACACTATTTTCCTCAGGTTGCTATAAGTCGGAATCAACCTGACGGCAACGGGTTTGGTTAGCAGGTGAGCTCTTAACCCCTGTACCACTAGGACTCCCTCCGACGGCAACGGGTTTGCTTTGTTTTAACTCTCTATGATGGATTCCACGGGTAGCACAAATGGCTAAGTGCTGGACTACTAACCAAAAGGTTGGTAGTTCCAACCCACCCAGAGACTTCCTCGGAAGGAAGTCCTGATGATCTGCTTCTGAAAGGTGGAATGCCTCCTGTGGAATGCAGCTCTCCTCTGCACACTGGGGGTCGCCATGAGTTGGAATAGACTCGATAGTAGCAAATAGCAACAACAACAAACTCTCTCCAATTTGGGCAAGGAGACCTAGGCCTGCCAGGGACCTTATTTCTTTGGCCTGGGTCTAATCTCCATCGTGGACTCTCCTGGCATGAAGGTGGGGTGTAAGGAACCCACCATGAGAAACTGGAATTTGACAGCCGTCACTACAAATACTCAGGTCGATGAAGTCATCTTTGGAGTAGAACTCGGATGCCGTAATGACTTCCCAGTGTAACAATATCACCGGTGAGTAATGTGCTCCCTTAAACAGTGAACTCCAGGAGACCAGATGGTCAACATTTACCCAGAAGCAAAGATGAGAAGGCAAGAAGCTAGATCAATGGAAACAGAACAAACAGAATGGAAATAATGAGAAGGCTGACACATTGTAAAAATTGTAACCAACAGTGTGGAAGAGTTTGTATACAAATTATTAAAGGGGAACCTAATATGCTGTGTAAACTTCCACCTAAAACACAACAAAATATATCATTAAAAAAAAAAAAGTAGCCACTCTCCTGGCCCAGGGAGTGGAGGTTGGGTAGCAGGCCCCTGGGCCTCCGCCTGTTCTGCCCCGTGTCCCACCCTCAACAACAGCCATCTCTAGTCTGCACACCTCCACCCTCTCCGGGGCTGCCTCGGGCACAGGTCGGTGCCCGCTGCCCGCTGTGAGCAGCGCAAACAGGGAGGTGGTGGCGCCCTGGGCCTGGCTGTTTCTGAACAGGACATGGCAAGTGCCTGGTACTTTGTAGTTTGCAGGGCCCCTTCCCGGCGTGTGATTCTCACACGGGATGCCATGCTGTTGACATGAGGCGTGTTCCCATTTTACAGATGGGGAAACAAACTCAGAATAGTGAGGTGACCTGCCCAGGTCACCTGTTGCCTACAGAACTGCTGCCAGACCTCACTCCCAATGCCCATTCATCTAGAGACGTGGGAGGTGGCAGGACTCCTGCGAGGTAGGTGGCCACCCCGATCTCAGCCAAAGGTGCACCTCCAGGTGCCCAGAACTGGGTCATGGCCTCTGTCACAGAGCTGGCCAAACTGTTTATTTGAACCTGGATCTGACGAGCAAGCTCCACTGGGGCTGGGGCTGCATCCCATTTCCCTGAAGTTCCCCCAGTTTGGTGCTCAGGACCCTAACACTGGGTGACAAGGGTTTTAAAAGATTCCATGTAAAGAGCAGGCGCCAGTACCCCTGCTAACATCTTCTTTTTCTGTCCCCACAATAACCCTACCAGAGCTACTGCTCATGTCCCCATTTACGGATGGGGGATCCCAAAGGGTTCGACCTCAAGGAAGTTACCTTGAGTCACGCCGGGAGCAGCCGGGGAAGCTGAGAGGTGAGCCCAGGCCGTGGGGGCTCCAGCAATAACGTGCAAGATGCTCGGCTGTCTTCCTGTGAGCAGGCCTCGGTGACGCTGAGTGGGCTAATGGGCCCAAGGTAGATTGTTCTGCTCAAGAGACAGCAGCAGCCTCCCAAGGAAGCATTATGAGGATGTGAGGATGGCGCAGGACCAGGTGGTGTTTCGCTCCGGCATGCATAGGGTCGCTAGGAGGCAGAACCGACTCCACAGCACCTAACAACAACAACAACAATGTGGAAGATCCAGGTTCGATTCCTGGCAGACGCACCCACGCACAGCCTCCATCCGTCTGTCAGTGGAGGCTTGTGTGTTGCTATAATGCCATGATGCAGGTTTCCGTGGGGCTTCCGGACTAAGGCAGACTAAGAAGAAAGGCCTGGAGATCTACTTCCGAAAATTAGCCAGTGAAAACCCTCTGTCTCACAAGGGTCCACTCTGCAACTGATCGTGAGAACGGCACACAGGTTGTTGTGTTGTTAGGTGTCATCCAGTTGATTCCAACTCATAGCAACTCCATGTACAACACAATGCAACACTGCCCAGTCCTGCACCATCCGTACAATCAACGTTCTCCTTGAGCCCATTGTTGCAGCCACTGTGTCAGTCCATCTCGTTGAGGGTCTTCCTCTTTTTCCCTGACCCTCTACTGTACCAAGCATGATGTCCTTCTCCAGGGACTGGTCCCTCCTGATAACATGTCCAAAGTATGTGAGATGAAGTCTCACCATCCTCGCTCTTGAGGAACATTCTGGCTGTACTTCTTACAAGACAGATTTAAAAAAAAAAATTTTTTTATGGTACTTTAGGTGAAAGTTTACAGAACAAATAGTTTCTCATTAAACAGTCAGTACATATATTGTTTTATGACATTGGTTAACAACCCCACAACTTGTCAACACTCTCCTTTCTCGATCTTGGAGGACTTTTTTTTTTTTTTTGGTGAAAATATACATAATCAAAGATACACCATTTCAAAAATTTCTACTTGTACAATTCAGTGACATTGATTACGTTCTTCCAATTGTACTGCTATCCTCACTTTAGATGAAGGTGTACAGAACAAAATAGTTTCTCATTAAACAGTACGCCTATTACCCTATGACAATGGTTAACAACCCCACTCCCACTACATGTCAACACTGTCTTTACTCAACCTTGGGTTCCCTATCTCCAGCTTTCCTGTCCCCTTCTGCCTTCTAGTCCTTGTCCCTTGACTGCTGTGCCTCATTAGTCCCATTTTGTTTTATGGGGCTGACAAGACAGATTTTTTTGTTCTTCTGGTGGTCCGTGGGATATTCAATATTTGCCAACTCCATAATTCAAACACATCAATTCTTCTCTTGTCTTCCTTATTCATTGTCCAGCTTTTGTATGCATATGAGGTGATTGAAAATATCATGGCTTGGGTCAGGTGTACCTTAGTCCTCAAAGCGATATCTTTGCTTTTCAACACTTTAAAGAGGTCTTTTGCAACAGAGTTGCCCAAGGCAATATGTCATTTGATTTCTTGCCGGCTGCTTCTGTGGGTGTTGATTTGTGGGTTGTTGATTGCGACACAGGGCTGAGCAGCATTTCGTTCCGTTTGCATCTCATTGCCATGAGTCGGAACCTGACTCAACATCAGCTAACAACGTAGCTTGTCATTCTCAAGAGTGAGAAGTCCAGGGAGGAGGGATAACAAAGGCTCAGGTGCACTGGGTATGTCTTCGACGGCTTTCCCAGACGTAAGCTCACTTGGACATTAGCTCACCCCACGGAAATCCTGAGGAAGGCCAGGTCAGATGGACCCAGAGAGGGAGGGAGGCTTGCCAAGGGCCCCACAGCCAGCAGGTCTGAATCCCCTTCACTTGCAAGCCTGCCCGCTTCCCACTAGCCCCAGGGCCACCTCAGAAAACAGCGCGCCCTTGGCTACTTCCCAGAGCCCCAACTCGCAGGTTGTTGATTCTTGGGTAGCTGCCCTGAGATGCTTCTGGGTCAGGCATCTAACTGGGGGAGGGTGGGGGGCAATGCCTGCAAGGCCGGTCCCCAGCCCCGTCACCCGTCCCTGGAGCCACCATAAGCCAGAAGGTTTTCCCCTGATGCTCACGAGGGCCACTCTCTGTGAGCCCTCACTTGCTGCTATCTCTCTCAGGGTGGGGGGTTGCAAACTAAACCAATTCCCCGAGAGCAAACCAAACCAAACCAAACCCGTCGCTGTTGAGTCGGTTCCGACTCATGGCAACCCCATGTGTTACAGAGTAGAACTGCCTGGTAGGGTTTTCTTGGCTGTCATCTTTATGGAAGCAGATTGCCAGACCTTTCTTCCGTGACACTGCTGAGTGGGTTCTAATCGCCAACCTTTTGATTAATAGTTGAGTGCACCACTCAGGGACCTGTTCCTAAATCACAGTCTCCACAGAAGCTCAGCCTGGCCCCCAGCCCTTCAGCCCTACCCACCCCTGCTCTCCTGCCCCGGGGGGTTCTTACTCTTCCCCATCCTCCCCGCTGCCTCCGTACTGCCGCTCACACTCTTGCTGCCACTTCTGTGCCCTCCTCCTCTCTGCCTGGCGAGCCATCGCTCATCCTCAAGGCCCAGCTCCTTCTCCTCCGAAGCGTCCCGACGGACCCCAGCGAGCACCTGGTCCTGAGCCCCACCCTCCTCTGAGCTCACAGGTTGTCCACCAACATGGCAGGTCGCAGCCTGCCTCTGATCAGTCCCTGGGGGTGTGTCTCCCTCCCTGGGGTGGTGATCTGCTTGCCCTCCTCTCAGTCCTCTGGGGGACCCAGGAAGGAGCCTGTGCCCGGAGGAGATTAATTTCTCTTTCTTTCTTGGGTTCTTCACCTTTGCTGCCCAATACGGCTAGCCACTAACCACTGAGCTCCTGAAATGTGTCTAGTGCACCCAAGGAGCTGAATTTATTTTATTTTAATTAAAGTTTAAAAACTGAAGCTGTGTCCGATGTTTTCCCGTTAAACACAGCTTTGTTGCTTTGGTAGCATTACATTGTACTTTAAATGTTGAAAGTTTGATGTCTGAATTGAGATGTGTTGTAAGGGTAAAAAAGAAGGCGCCTGTTGGCACAAGCAGCTTGCAATAGGCCGCTAACCTCAAGGCTGGCGGTTCGAGCCCACCCAGCGGTGCCACAGAAGAAAGTGCCCACCCTGGGCGATCTGTTTCCATAAAAATCACAGCCAAGAAAACCCTACAGGGCAGTTCTACTCTGTAACACATGGGGTCGCTCAACTTGGCTGCAACAGGGTTTTTTTTTTTGTTTTTTTTTCTGAGTAAGAGTAACAGGTTTGGAAGACTTAGGTAAAAAAGATGTAAATACATGTCATCGTGACCTTATTATAATGATTGTAAGTTGAAATGATATTTTGAATATATTGGGTGAAAGAAATGTATTATTGAAAATAATGTCACCTCTTTCTTTTTACTTTTTAATGTGGCTAGGAAATTTAAAACAACATATGTGGCTTGAATTATATTTCTATTGGACTGCACCGTTTTAGCTTAGATTAAAAAACAGAAGCTACCCAGGTAGAAGGTGGGAGAGGCAGAGTGTAAGGTGTAAGTTGGCCTTCATGGAAATGATCTCAGCCAGTATGTGGCTGAAACTCCCTGTGAGATAACAGCAAGATCAGTTATTGAAAGGCTAACGAGATCCCAGGCCGCATTAACAGAAGTCCATGTGCTTACTGATGAAGACCAAAGACCACAGCCTTCAGTATGGATTGCACCTCAACACAAAGAAAACAAAAATCCTCACAACTGGACCAATAAGCAACATCATGATAAAGGAGAAAAGAGAGAAGTTGTCAAGGATTTCATTTTACTTGGAGCCACAATCAACACCCATGGAAGCAGCTGTCAAGAAATCAGACGACATAATGCATTGGGCAAATCTGCTGCAAAAGACCTCTTTAAACTGTTGAAAAGCAAGGATGTCACTTTGAAGACTAAGGTGAGCCTGACCCAAGTCATGGTATTTTCAATTGCCTCGTGTGCATGTGAAAGCTGGACAATGAATAAGGAAGACCAAAAAAGAATTGATAACTTTGGATTATGGTGGTGGTGAAGAATATTGAATATCCCATGGACAGCCAGAAGAACCAACAAATCTGTCTTGGAAGAAGTACAGCCAGAATGCTCCTTGGAAGCAAGGATGGCAAAACCTCATCTCACATACTTTGGACATGTTATCAGGGAGGGATCAGTCCCTGGAGAAGGACATCATGCTTGATAAGGTAGACAGTCAACGAAAAAGAGGAAGACCCTCAATGAGATGGATTGACACAGTGGCTGCAACAATGGGCTCAAGCATAACAACAATTGTGAGGACGGCGCAGGACCGGGCAGTGTTTCATTCTGTTGTACATGGGGTCGCTACAAGTTGGAACTGACTCGACCGCACCAGGTAACAACATACAATCAACCTTGAAAAGCCGGAACCTGTGTAAGGCAGAAACCTGTTAGGAAAGGGAAACTCAAATCTTTTCCGCCGATAGAATGCAATCGAAAAGCGCTCAGAGTGTTGAAGTTGGAAAACTTTCGGGACCCAGAAAAACCAGGCAGTCTTGTTGAGTTCTGGCTCTCACAGGTTTCACTCTATACACACACACACACGCGCACACACACACACACACACACACACACACACACACACACAGAGTAATGTTTGGAGAGTGTCTTTCAGTATTTGCGTAGATGGCATCCTTGAATACGCCTCATTCTAAAACTGTGTGCTGTGTGGGTTTCACTCATCTGGTGCCCTAGTAAAGGGGGAGGGGTCATCTATGCTCCCCCTGAGAAATACACAGACAAGTGGGGTCACCCTCCAACTCTGCAACACCCTGTGAACACGTGGGAGAATTTCTTGGGGGTCCTTAGTCTCCAGAACCGCTGCCCTGGTTTGTAGCGTGGTTGACATTTTCTGGCTGTGCCAGTGCGTTAGCGTCTCCAGGACTCAGTCTCCGCGGCTGATCGTGGGCCCAGCATCCCTGCTCACACAGCTTTGTGAGGAGATCTGCGAAGACAGCACTCAGCCTCTGCAGGTGCTGGCAGCACCTCCTGGAGTCCTGTCCAGGCAGTCAGCGCCCCCTCAGGGCTGGCGTTTGATGAGGGGTCTGTGGGGTGCAGGGATCAGAACAGAAATGGTTCTGTAGGTCCTCACGTCCAAGCCCCCTCACATTATGCTGAAAACCGGCAGCCCAGAGAGGGTGAGAAGTTTGGGGACAGTCACGCAGGTGGTGGGGGCGGCTGAGTCTGGAACGCGGACCGCCCGCCTCCCTCCCATGCCTCTCCTGGTCCTTGCCCCACCACAGCTGCAGAATTAAGTCTGGGTTGACCCCAAAGCCAGGTGTTGGGGCTCCAGCGCGGCTGCTTCCTGTCACTCTCCCTGGCTGCGCCTGTTTGCTCAGCTGTAACCTGGGGTTGGCACTAAGCTTCTGCCAAGACTACCGGAGATCCCACGAAGACTGAGACCCTCTCCCAGGCGCTCAGCCACTGCGGACCGCCACACCGCGATCCGGACCCGGGGCGGAGGGCGCTCAGCCACTGCGGACCACGACACCGCGATCCGGACCCTGGGCGGACGGCGTGGGAGGCGCCCACAACTGGCGGGCACATCTAGGGCACACCTGGCGCACACCTGGAGGAGAGGCATTGCGGCCTGGGCACTCATTGGCTGGGGCGGCGGGTGACGCAATCCAGGGGCGGCGTAGGGAGTACCAGGACTGGACACCCGGCTCCGGCTCTTCTAGGTCCCATCCTTGGCGCTACCCCAGCCCCATCCCTGACCGGTGGCCGTACTCTATCCAGCACCCCATCCTGGTCCCATCCCAGCTCCACTCCTGACCAGTGGCCCTTCACCTTTCGGGGCCCCATCCACCACCAGCCCCCTCCTCGCCCCACCTGCCATGGTCTCCTTTGAGAAGGAGGGCAGCTGGAGTCTGTCCTTCTGCGGCTCCGGCTTCCTGGGTCTCTACCACGTGGGCGTGAGCCACTGTCTGAGAGAGCGCGCCCCGCACCTCCTCCTGGGCGCTCACCGCTTCTATGGCGCATCGTCTGGAGCGCTCAACGCGGTCGCCTTGGTCTGCGGGAAGTCGTTAGGTGAGTCCAGGGACTCCTGGGGGCCAGGAGGCATCGGAGATCAGTTCGCAGTCCCTAACGGGAGGGTTTTGGGATGGGAGGGAGCTGGGGACCTGCCTGGCGCTTTGTCCCAGCGTGTTCTTATTTAATCCTGATGAGAACCCCAGGTCTGGGCTAGGCCACCTCATTTCCCAAAGGAGGAATCCAAGGCTTAGCACGAGGGAGAGCCATTTCTAAGGTCACCTGGGGGAAAAGGTGGACGCTGGATTTGAACCCAGGGCTGGGTACAGAAATTCTGAGCTGGAGAGGTGAGGGGGACTTTGGCCCCCATTGCACCCAGGAAGGAGGACCGGCCTGTGGGGAGAGGTGTGGGCAGTCCCGCTGGGTGGCTGAGGAGTTCCCCGGCCCCACCCGCAGACTTCTGCTGTGCCCACCTCCTGGGCATGATCAAGGTTGTCAAGCGGCTGAGTCTGGGTGTCTTCCACCCGGCCTTCGCCCCCATCGAGCTCATCAAGCTGGCTCTACAAGAGCACCTGCCCGCCAACGCACACATCCTGGCCTCTCAGAGGCTGGGCATCTCGCTGACGCGTTGGCCGGACGGCAAGAACATCATAGTTACCGACTTCGCCTCCCGCGATGAGCTTATCCAGGTGGGCAGGTGCTGGGGCCTGGGGCTTCACAGGCGCTTCCCAGGGGCAGACACACCCACAAACGGGAGGGCAGGAGCAGCTTGAGGCTCCTCAGTTTGCTTACAAATGAGGAAACTGAGGCACAGAGAGGGGTGGCAACTTGTCCAAGTTGCTCAGTGAGTACAAGGATCCCAGCTTGCTTCAAGGATGCCCCTCGGCTAGCAGAAAAGGTTCTGGCTGGGATGGGGAGGAGGGGGCAAGGGCAGGCTTCTTCTGACAGGACCCCCTGCAGGGGCTGCTGCTTGCAGTGGGATGCCTGCCCAGCCCCGATGCTGGGGCAAACATTTATTGAAAGACGAGTATGTGCCTGTCACCTTTTTAGACACTGAAATAACAGGAAACAAAATGGACAAAAGCCCCTGCCTTCCCGGGGCTTACAGTCTAACGTGTGCGTGTATAGGGGTAGGGGCAGATAATGGGCACATCTCAGAGTAATGAATTAAGAGAGAATCCAGCATTGAAATAAAAGACAGGGGGAGAAAATGAGAGCCACATGGTCAGGGAAGGAGGCCCTGCGCCCTACCTGCCAGGTATGGGCTGGGTGGGTGGCCAGGGGGGCCAAACAGTGCCCCTGCCCCCAGCAGAGCACAGACATGTGGGGTGACAGGCCTGTACCCCTGAAGGCTTCAGCGGAGGGTGAGGAGGCCTGGGCATCCCCCATTGCAGCTCTGCCTCCTAACCAGTCTGGGTCTCTTACAAAGACTGGGAGCCCCGACACACGGCCGGGTTATCTTGGTGCTGGTAGTGCCCAGCAGGGGACCTGCTTCATGGTGGCGGAATGTGGGGGCTCCATCCTGAGCCTGTGCGGGGTCGGGGCCCAGGCCCTTGCTGTGGGCACCTGACCATGGGCCCCTGAGGAAGCCAGCTGGGGACCCCAACGTGTGTCCCAGCACCCTTGCCTGATGGCACCTAGCACAGGGCCTGGCACATAGTAGGTGCTTAGTAAAGAGCTGCTATGAATTACTATTCCGTGGGAGTAAGACTCGCCGCCGTATCTCCATCCCATGGGAGCAGGGCAGATTCCACATCTCCCTGAGAGGGTCGGCGGGATGGCTCCAAGGGGTCCGTGAGTTCGGTAGACTGTAGGTCAGCGATACTCACCTGTGGGCGATTTTGCTCCCTGGGGGTCATTTAGCCGCGTTAGAGACATTTTTGGTTGTCACAACTTGGGAGCGTGTGTGCATTGGCAACTAGAAGCCACAGAGGCTGCTGAACGCCCTCTGTGCACTGGACCACCTCCATCACCAAGAGCTGTCCAGCCCCGAACATCAGTAGTGCTGACGTGGAGCAACCCTGCTCTCCCTTCCGTGCCTTCGTAACTGCAGGACTTGTCAGAGCCTCTACTGGGGAGGAGTCCTAGCTGGAGAAAGAGGATAACTGTCAAGACAGGCTTCTCTTTTTAACTTGGAGAACTTGGCGGGCCATGCAACCTCCTGGGCCCCAGTTACCTCACGTGTTCGTGGAACCAATAATGCCTCCTTTGGAAGCTGTTTTGGGGATGGGAACCCATGGCCCGAGCAGGTTCTGAGCAGAGCGGAGCAGGAACACTTGTATTCCTCCCAACTCTTGTCTTCCCAGGCCTTGCTCTGTACCTTATACCTCCCTTTCTACTGTGGGGTGATTCCTCTTGAATTCAGAGGGGAGGTAAGTGCACTTTGGGGGTTTGATTACTGAGCCCCTGCCCTGGGCTCTGAGAGCACCTACTGGGTGCCAGGCCTTCTCCTCCTCCTATGGGGGCTCAACATCCTTGGCCGGGGTGAACCCAGTGTTTCCGGTACAGCCAGAGGGTGACAAGCTGCAGCCCATTCTTTGCCGGTGTCCCCACGGTGGTGTGGGGAAGGGCAGGTGACCCCAGAGGGCAGCATCTCCCACCTCACCCTCCTCATTGCAGCACTACTTCGATGGTGGTCTGAGCAACAACGTGCCCTGTGAGGACCCCAAGTCCACCATCACCGTGGCTCCCTTCCATGGGACACTAGACATCTGTCCCCAAAGCCCCTCGGCCAGCCTGCACGAGATGAACATCTTCAACATGAGCTTACAGATCTCTACCAAGAACTTCTTCCTGGGGTTCCACACCCTCTTCCCCCCCAGTCCTGAGGTAGGTCTGGCCCCAGGCGTGTAGAGGCTCGGCCACAGCTGAGAACCCGTGTGTTGGAGTTTGGGTTCCAGTTAGGCCACATGGCCTGTGCTCACAGCCAAGGACAGATCAAGCAGGATTCGAATCTAAAGTCTGGGGCTCAAGTCCTGTCCTTCCTGTTCCTTCTCCCTTGGGCAAGTGTGGGGTTAGGGCTGGCCCACCCTGCTGAGCTTGGTTTTCAGCCAGGCCTTCACCTGGCCCATGTTGTCCTGTGTCAGGCTCTATGAGGAGGGACATTTGTCATCTCAGTTTCTCAGGGGAGGACACTAAGGCTCAGAGAGGTGGAGTGACTTGTTCAAAGTCACACAGCCAGGAAGTGGCATAGCCAGGATTCAAACCCTCAGCTGGCCCCGAGCCTGTGCTCTTCCCTGCTGCCCTAGACTGGCCAAATCGACTGTCCGTGTGGCGGCGAGGCACAGGCTCAGAGAAAGATGAACACCCGTGTCTTAGTCATCTCAGTACCCATATCTGTTGCCATCAAGTCGATTCCGTGCTCCTGTAACAGAAATACCACAAGTAGGTGGCTTTAACGAGCAGAAATTTATTTTCTCACAGTTTAAGAGGCCAGAAGTTCAAATTCAGGGCGTCAGCTCTAGGGAAAAGCTCTTTCTCTCTGTCGGCTCTGGGAGAGGTCCTTGATTCTTTTTAGCTTATGTTTCCTGGTTTCTTGGAGATCTGTGGCGTGGCATCTGTCTTCCCCCAACTCGCTTGCTTGCTTCATCTGCTCTTCTATATCTCAAAAGAGATCGATTTAAGACACACCCTACGTTAATACTGCCTCGTTAGCATAACAAAGAAAACCCATTCCCAGATGGGATTATAGCCACAGGTATATGGGTTAGGAAGCCCTGGTGGCACAGTGGTTAAAGCGATTGACTGCTAACTGAAAGGTCAGCAGTCGGGAGAAAGATGTGGCAGTCTGCTTCCACAGAGATTTACAGCCTTGGAAACCATGTAGGGTCGCTATGAGTCGGAATCAACTTGACAGCAGTGGGTTTGATTTTGATTTGATATACGCGATGCTGTCGCGTTGATTCCGACTCACAGAGACCCTACAGGACAGAGTAGGACTGCCCCATAGAGTTTCCAAGGAGTGGCTGGTGGATTTGAATTGCTGACCTTTTGGTTAGTAGCAAAGCTTTTAACCACTGCACCACGAGGGGGATTTACAACGCATATTTTTGGGAGACACAATTCAATCCATAACAACTAGGCACCATTTCCTGCTCTTTGGTCCCTTGGTTATGCACTTGGCTGCTAACTGAAAGGTTGGCGGTTTGAGTCCATCCAGAAATGCCTCTGAAGAAAGTTCTGGCAATTTACATCTGAAAAATCAACCACTACAAACCTTATGGGTCACAGATCTGCTGTGACACACATGGGGTCACCATGAGTTGGGATCAACTCGATGGCGACTGTTTTATTATTTTTTTCCTGAAAAATGGGTAATTTGACAGCAGATTATTATTGTACCATACCCCTCGCCCCATCCATGCCCTGCCCTCCCCACCCCTCACACCTGGCCTGTGTGTGTATACTTTATCATTTATAAAACAAGGTCATAGTCACTTACTTTGGGCCTCCCCGCAGCCCTGGGGTGCACAGAAGATATCCGCCCCATTTTACAGAGAAGGAAGCCGAGGCTCTCAGCGAGCAAGGGGCCGCAGATCTTTCCTGGGCCTGTGCAGCCTTCTCCCCTGCAGAGGGCTCCGATGGAGACGGGCGGGGCTAGGCTCCTGGAACGCTCTGCCCGTCTCAGGCTGCTCCTGGAAATGAACATCAAGGGGCCAACAAACCAGTGACCTACGGTGCCATCCCAGCTGGCCCGGGCCAGGCCTTGGTATCCCATTTTCCAGAGGGAGGAACTGAGGCCAGAGAGGGGCAGGGCTGGAGAAGGGTACTGGCCAGCGTGTCTCGGGGAGGGGAGTGAAATGAGGGTGCCAAGGGAAACAGCATGAGCGCATCTGGTCCACCTGCAGTCTCGGGCAAGTGCTGGGGTCCTCTAGGCCCCTGAGCCCTGCTGAGGGGTCACCTGGGGAATGCAGGCTGGGCGGGGGGTGCCTCCAGTTGAAGACCGATGGAGCAGCAGGTACAGACCATCCCCGCCCCCACCACCTGTGTGTTCTCAGATAGTGGCCGACATCTGCAGACAAGGCTACCTGGATGCCCTGAGATTCCTGGAGAGAAGGGGTAGGTGACACACCCCACAGTAGCTGACTGACCCCATATGGGGCCGTACACCACGTAAGCACCAGGGGGTGCTGCTTTCCTTCCCCAGCATCTTCTCTGTGCTCTGGCTTAGCTGGATGCTGGGGACCCAGAAAGGGGTCACACACAGGTGGGACAGTCCCAGAAAGAGACCACCAGGGGAGAAGGTGCAGTGATGGAGGGATGCCCAGGGCTGTGCGGGCCCAAGGAGGCAACTGACCAGCCTGGGGGTCAAGGGCGGCTTCCCGGACTTGGTGACAGATGAGCTGGGCTTTGACCGACTATGAAGGCTATGGCAAGGTTGAAGGCGGAGAGTGGGAGGACGTTCCAGGCAGAGAGAAGAGAGAGAGAATAAGGGTCAAGGTCAGCACCCTGAGGGAGCAGTAATGCAGTGTGACAGGAGGGGTGTGGGGGTGTGTATGTGTGTGCTTGTGTGCACGTGTGTTCATGTGTATGTGTGTGTTATGTATGCAGATGTGTGTACGTGTGTGTATCTGTGTGAGTGAATATGTGTGTTTCAGCATATTATGTGTGTGAGTGTGTGTATATGTATATGTATGTGTGAGTACATGTGTGTGTGTGTGTGTGTGCATATGAGTGTGTGTGGGTGTCTGTGTCTGTGAAAGACAAGCGAGTTCATAGGACAATGGGTGGGACCAGAGAGATCTTCTGGGCTGGAGAGCCTGGATGTCATCCACAGGCAGTGTTCTTCAAAGTGGCAGAGCTGTGTCCAGAACCCGTCCCCATGTCCTCAAGCCCTCAGTGACAGCCCAAAGCAGCCTTGGCAGCAGGAGGCATTAGCTGAGAACAGAACACATGAGCAGCCCTGGCTAGAGCTGTGCATACTGATCTCACTTAGCCCTCCAAACAGCTGTAAAAAACAAGTCTCACTTTTCCCCTTTCACAGAGAGGGAAACTGAGGCACAGGTGCGTCAGGGCACATAGCTTGCAGGTGGTAGAGCCAGGATTTGACCCCTGGCCTGGTCCTCATGGCCTGGGCTCTGATTACCCACTAGAAAGCGACCAGGAAGCAGGGGCAGGGGAGTGCAGAAGGGGTCACTTGGGATGAGCCGCGAGTCCATCCGCCGCAGGTCGGTCACCAGAGCGGGGTTTGGGCGCAGGGGCGGGGGTGTGTGCAGATGGTACGGGCAGTGAGGTTGGCATGGAGAGACACTGAACGTGCTGACCATCACCCTCCCTCCCCTCCCCTCCTTTCCCTGGCCCAGGACTCACCAAGGAGCTGATCCTGTGGGTTTTGGCATCTAAGGAGCCTCCAGCCCCCGCTGAAGGGACCCAGGGTGCTGGCTGTGATGAGGACGGGAAGGCGGGTCTGCCTCTCACCTGGGCAGCGCCCAACGTGCGCATCGAGGACGTGCCCGACTTCGAGCAGCTGTCCCCGGAGCTGGAGGCTGGTACTGCCCCTTCCTTCTTGTTCTCGCTCACCTACCAGGGGCCCTCACCCAGGGGCCAGGGCTGGGGACCCCGCCCCAGAGGAGCTCGTGGTCCGGAGGGGCAGAGGGACCCACATCTGTGGAGCACACCTGCTAAGTGCCAGGCGCGGGCGTTTTACACAGTGTGTTATTCGAACCTCACTACGCCCCCAGCGCAAGTGTTATTTGAACCCCATGTCACCGACGAGGAAACTGAAGCTCAGAGAGGGCAAGGTGATGACTGAGGCCACAAAGCCTGCCTTTGGGATTCAAACCCAAGTCCGTGCCTAAGAAAGCCAGGTCCTTGCCTACTGCCCAGGGAGGAGCAGTGGTGCTGAGGGATGTAGAAGTGGCCCACACAGAGGGCTCCAGATGCCCCAGGTGGAGACTGACTCATTTCATCCTCCCAGCAACACTCTGACTTATCCCCATTGTACAGATGAGGAAATCGCAGCACAGGAGGTTAAGTGGCTTGCCCAAGGTCACACAGCTAACCAGGGATTAGTTCTGCTCTGAACCATTCAGTCGACTCTCTTGTTCGGTGACCTCAATGTCACAAATGCAGTAACAGGAGGGTGTAGGAGCCCACAGCACATGGTGGAGGGCGAGCTTGAGCAACAGCTAAGTGAGACGTGAAAGGAGTTGGCCAGGCAGAGAAGTGGGAGATAAGTGTCCGAGCAGAGAGCACAGCACATGCAAAGGTCCTGGGCCAGGCGGAGCGCTGGGAGGTCTGGGTGCCTGCAGCACAGCGGCTGAGGGGCAGGGTAGCAGAGATGAGCTTGGGGAGGCTGGGAGGGCTGGACAGGTGGCTTCAAAAGTCACCTGAGAAGAGAGCCACTGGGGGGTCAGATGCGGGTGAGGGTGACTGCCCCTGCTTTTCAGAGTTCATCACTGCTCTGAATTCTAGTTCACTGGACTTAGATGGGAGGAGAGAGGGTAAGGGTTTAGGGTTAGATTTAGGGTTAGTGTTATGGTTAGTATTACGTTTAGAATTAGGGGCCAGGGTTAGGCGTTAGGGTTAGATTTTTGTTTAGATTGAAGTTTGGTTTAGGTTTAGGGTTAAGGTGAGGTTAAGGGTTAGGTTTAAGTTTAAGGTTAGGTATTAGTTTTAAGGTTAGGTTAGGGTTAGGGTTAGGAGTTCAGGTTAGGAGTTAGGTTTAGGGTTTAAGTTTTGAGTTAGGGTTGGGTGTTAGGTTTAGGGTTAGGATTAGGGATTAAGGTTGGCTTTAGGGTTAGGGTTGGGGTTAGTGGTTAGGTTTGGGATTAGGGGCTAGTTTTAAGGTTAGGGGTTAGGGTTGGGGTGGGGCCAGGGGTTTATTAAGGTTTAGGGGTTAGGGTTAGTGTTAGAATTAGGCCTAGGCCACTATCTGAGAACAAAAAGGGAGGTTAGACGATGTTGGAGGCCAGAGCAGAAACAATAGGATTAGGGTTAGCGTTAGGGTTAGGTTTAGGGTTAGAGTAGGGGTTAGAGTTAGGGTTAGGGTTAGGGTTGGTTGGGTTAGGGGTTAGAGTTTAGGGTTATGATTAGGGTTAGGGTTAGTTCACTTTCCTTAACAGTTGGGAGGAGGAGAGATGATGGTGGTTAGGGTTAGGGTTAGTCCACTCTCTTGAAGAGACAGGGGATAGGGTTAGATTTAGGGTTAGGATTAGAGTTAGGGTTAAGGTTAGGGTTAGGGTTTGTCCACTCTCTTGAACAGACAGGGCATTAGGAGAGATGATGTTGGTCATGCAGAGCATTCTCTAGGGTTAGGGTTAGGGTTAGGGTTAGGGTTAGGGTTAGGGTTTGTCCACTCTCTTGAACAGACAGGGCATTAGGAGAGATGATGTTGGTCATGCAGAGCATTCTCTACGGTGCACTAATAGATGAGGGTGGGGAGGTGGAATGTTTTCTCCCAGGGCTGGAGACCACAGACTGTTTGTTGTAATAGGCCTGGGTCTTCTCTCAACCACTGGGTGTGAAGCTCACACTCCAGAGCCTTGTTAGCATTGATGCCACCACAAGAGGGACCAGAGAACTCTTCTGTGATGGGGCTCCAACTTTGCAGGCCCCACCCAATGCCAGCCACACCCTCCTGCTCTCGAAGGGGCTTTCTTTACCTTGCCCTTACAGGTCATAGAATCCTCCCACCTGTCCTGGAGGCAGGGCTTGCTGGTACCTCCATTCTACAGAAGAAAGGAGAGGGACTCGCCCTGGGACCCATGTCAGGTGGACATGGAGTCGGTCTGTGGACTGTGTGGTCTGAGACCCTCCAAAAGTTGTCTATAGGTAGCACTGGCCAGGGTTGAGGCTGATGTTGTGAGTTATGGTCTGAGGCCAGGATTTGGGCTCCAGCTCAGCCCCGCCCCAATGCCTCATGGGCTTGTTGGCTGGTCTTCCCTCTGCCTTTGGTTCAGTGAATAGCAGGCTTGAGAAATGGCCGCTGTGGTTTTAGCTGCTGCCTCTCCTAATAATAACTGTGCATTACTGTTGTTGAGGGAGGCATGGTGGGGCGCCTGTCCCATCCTGGGGGGCCTCGGCAGAGTTCCCAGAAGGAGAGGAGAGATGGCAGGAGCTGTGGATCCTGACACCCTGTGAGTCCATGCTTGCCCTGCCACTTCCTGGTAGTGACCCTTGGGCAATTCACTTCTCCACTCTGAACCTCGGTCTCCTCGTCTGTGGAAGGAGAACACGGCGCCTATCTCGTGGGAAATGGTGAGAGGGCACATGCTGAGGGCCCAGCACCCTGCTGGCACATGGTAGCGCCTTCATCAATGTTGTTTCTTCCTCTGCAGAATTGGGGGTGGCAGCTGATGTTGAGAGTGGCTCAGGCCACTTCCCCTAGGGTGCTGCTGAGCAGGGCCGGCTGGAGGGCTGGGTAGGCCACCAAGTGGGCTGAGCCATGCTGTGGCTTCTCTTGCAGTCCTGAGGAAGAGATGTGGGAAGAACCCCAGCATCCGGGCCCAGTTTTGGCGGTCAGGCCCTGGGCAGGTGCTGACTTACCTGCTGCTGCCCTGCACGCTGCCCATGGAGTACGCCTACTTCCGGTCCAGAAGGTGAGGCCCAGGGTCCTGGGAAGTGGCTGGCTTACAGCCAGGATTGAGGCAGGTGGAGACCAGGGCCCATGACAGGAGGGGCAGCCGGCACAGGGGGTGGGCAGAACCAGGCAGGGTGGAGCCTGGCTGCTCTACTGCCCTCCCTGACCGGTGTGTCTGCGGACCTGGAGGCTTGGTGGTCTCCTCTGCAGAGTGGGCCCGATAGGGAGGCAGCGGGTCAGCTAGGTTGGAAGTCGAGTTTCCTGGTCAGCACCATGGCTGGTCCCTACTGTCTATGTGGCCTTTGGCCTATTGCTCCACCCATCAGAGCCTCAGAGACAGTGCTCTTTCTCTGAGGATAACTCGAGCTGGTCTGGCTCAGGCCTGCTGTGTGGCCTGGGCCAGGTCTCTTGACCTGTTGGGGCCTCAGCTTCCTCTTTCATCACACAAGGCCCTTCTAGGTGAGACTGGCTGTGGTTAAGCCCACACTCACCCTTCGAACTGCTGATCAATGGGCTCTTCATGGTTTGTCCGTTCATTCCACCAATGGTTATTGAGGCCCACCTGGTGCCAAGTTCAGCTGCGAGCTATGAAGACAGCATTGACCGAGACGCTGCCGCTGGCCTCGTGGAGCTCATGGCCCAGAAATCACACATATGCTCTGACCTGAGAGACCTAGGGGAGGGCCACGCTGGCTGTGAGCTGGACGGCTCACTAGGGACTGTCTGGTCAGAAGTTTGCACAGAGGTGATGACTTTTGAGTTAGTGTGGGTGAGAGTTCACTAGGCAAAGAGGGAAGGGAAAAGCATCCAGGCAGCAGGAATAGCACATGCAAAGGTCCCGGGGCAGGAGGGAGTAAGCCCTTTCGAGGAGCAGAAAGGGAGGCCAGTGTGGCTGGAGCTAAAAGGTGGAGTGCTGTGCAAGATGGGGCTGGGGAGGCTGGCAGGGGCTAAATACACAGGGCTCTGTAGCCAGGTGAGGAGTGTGCTGTTTATTCGGAAAGTGGTGGGAAGGCAGTGAAGGATTTAAGCAGGCAGGTGTCCTGGGGAGACCTGTATTAAAGACATTTCTCGATTCTCTGGGAAGGAAGCTCTCTGTCCCGGTCCACGCTGAGTTAACAACTGGGTCAGGCCTGCTGCTGATGGCCCAAAGCCAGGAGGGAGTTTTCTGCTGACACAAATTATCCTCATGCTGAGCTGTTAGACCCAGACCACAAGTAGCAATAAAAAAGGATAAATGCAAAGCCTAGCATTTTCTATTTTTAAAAAAAATCCATCGCATGAGCACCAGTGGGGAGGCCTGCCAAGACACCAGGGAAACAGATGCCTGATATTTTCTGTAACCCACACGGTCAACATGTAGCTTGCAATAATGGAGGCAGAAGGCCCAGAACAAGGGAGGTGATGATCCAGCTTATGTTTCACTTGTCACCCTATGGAATGTCTGCCCACTTTGAGCTTAGTGGTCCCTCCAGGGGTGATGTCGGGGAGGGGAGACCCTGCAGCATCCAGTAGGCCTGGGGGTGGGGTAGACACTGAGAGGGTGCCAGACCAGTCTTTGTCAGCCGTGGGGGTGACCCAGCTGTCTGCTGCCTTGTGGGGCGAGGTCTCTGCAGGCAGGCTCCTGCTCTCCTCCGTGCTGGGGCCAGATGCGGTTATGAGCTCCCTGACTGTGGGTGCCGGGCTCTGTCAAGAGGGCAGTGGGGAACCCTGGGAGGAGCCAGAGAGGGCTGTGATGTGAGAAATGTTTTAGCAGGGTCTCTGGCTGCTGAGAGGAGTGGATGCAAGGGCGTGGGGTGGGGAGGAGAGCTGGCACTGAGTTGGGGGCAGGAAGGAGAGGAGGAAGAGGAAGGACGGACAGATGGAGGAGGTTAGGAGCTCCAGGCCAGGTGACTGTGGGCAGGCAGGGGAGAGGCAGGCAAGAGGCAGGCATCCCCGTGGTTATGTCCTCATGTGACAGGTGAGGAATCAGGCCCAGAGAGATTCTCTGTCACACAGCTGTGAGCAGGGCAGCTGGGATGCACCCCCCAGGCCTGCCTGACCCCAAAGCCCTGCCCTTCCACCCCCAACTTCCATTTCCCCTGTGGAGTCCATGAGCCTAAGGGCCTGGCTGCTTCCATGAAGTTCAAAGTCCATCATGGAGCACCCCCCCAGCCCCTCGTGCATCTGCAGGTGTTCCTGTGGGTCCAACCTGCTCTGTGGAGGGGGCCCACACTGCTCGGGTGCTTCTTACACGCCCCACAAGCACCCCATCCCACTCCCTCTGGGCCTGGTGCCTCAGGTACAGGCCCCTGTGGCTCTGTGCTGACCTGTGGGGAAGTGGGCCTGCTGGGCTGCTGGGTGGAGCTAACGCGGCCTGTCCTTCAGGCTGGTGGCCTGGCTGCCTGATGTGCCGGCGGATCTGCGCTGGATGCAGGGCCTGCTGAGAAGCTCAGCCCACGAGTTCTACTCCAGGACAAAGGCCAGTCTCCTCAGGGCTGTTAGGTGAGGGAGCAGATGGGCTGGGGGAGTGGCTGTGCTGAGGCGGGAGGCGGATCCAGCTGTTTCCCTAGACCCAGAGCCAGGCAGCACACCCCATCCATCCACCCCATCCATGTCCCTCTGTCCATCCTTCTGTGCAGCCAGCAGCACATGTGTTTTGTACACTTCTGTGTGGCAGACCCTCGTTGGGTGCTAGGTGCAGGCTGGCCAGCCACATTGTCTGGTCCAACTGACCTGCTGGGGTGGTCACTATGTCCTCCTCGGTCACTATGCCCTCCTCAGTCACTATGCCTTCCTTGGTCACTATGTCCTCCTCAGTCACAATGTCATCCTCGGTCACTATGTCCTCCTTGGTCACTATGTCCTCCTTGGTCACTCTGTTGTTGTTGCAGAAATGGGCCTGAGGCCTACAGAAGGCAAGTGGTTTCCCTGCTTTGCCAGCTCGCTGCCAGTCCTTCCAGCATCATTGCAGATGCCTCCCCAGGACCTCGTGGGAGGCTTGCATGTGTGGTCTGCTTGGGGCTGCGTGGCCCTCTGCCTGACCCACTGGCTGGAGGTCCCAATGGTCCTCCCCCACCCAGGGGGCAGCCTCTTTTCTAGCAGGGAAATCGGCACAGCTTCCCTGGGAGTGCCCGTCCCCAGAGCCAGCTCTGCCGGAATACAAAGCTCAGGTCCTTCCTCAGAGCAGGGCCTGGGAGAACTGCCACCCGGGCTCTGCGTGCAGTGGGGTCCCTCCCTGGCCCCCTGCCCTCGTCCAAGCCCCATGGCACTGAGAACGTGCATCAATTGGTTTCTTCTCCTTCACAGCCTTTCAGCCACCAAGTCCCTGGCAGCAGGCCCCCTCCAGCCTGGGGTGGCTCCTCTGGTGGACTCTGCCCTGGAACCCACACCCACCCAGCAGGCCTGAGGGCACCGTGCTGGGCCAGCTCGGTGACAGAATTCCCGACCCGTATGCTGGCCCTCATCCTGTGTGCCACATCTGCCACCCTCACCCCGGGCGTGAGGCCTGGGTCTGACTCCCCTCTGGGAGCTCAGCACCCAGCCCCTGGCCCAGTGTGGGCCCAGGACTCATCGGCTGCCAAGTGGAGGACCAAGGGGAAGGCCATCTTCTGCCCACGGACTCTTAGGAATGTTCATGATTTAGCAATGCCCCTGCCCCTCTTCACCCACCCCAGGCAGAGAGGGTGCTGGGGACACCGGATCTCCTGTGGCCTCTCCTGGGAGTCACAGCCTCTCCTGGCCTCAGTAGATTCTTGTGCCCAGGCCCTGAGGAAATGCCAGCCCGAGTGGAGATGGGGAAGGTGGAGAAGGCTACAGTGAGAGGAAAAGGGAGCAAAGGAATAAATCTATGAACAAAAGAGATGCTGAGTCATTCATTCATCCATTCATTCATTCATTAGGCTTATACTTAATGAGATAAATACTCGAGCCCCAGCTGAAAACAAAACTTATATTTGGGGGTGAGGGCAGCATAGGAGCCGAGCCAAAAGGTCGTATCCTTTCATTATACTTATGCAGTCTGTATGCTGAGCAAATAATCTGAGAAGCTGGACTCTATGAAGAAGAACGGGGCATCAGGACTGGAAGAAGACTCATTAACAGCCTGCGATATGCAGATGACACAACCTTGCTGGCTGAAATTAAGGAGGACTTGAAGCCCTTACTGATGAAGATCAAAGACCACAGCCTTCAGTATGCATTGCACCTCAACACAAAGAAAGCGGAAATCCTCACAACTGGGCCGATAAGCAACATCATGATAAATGGAGAAAAGATTGAAGTCGTCAAGGATTTCATTTTATTTGGATCCACAATCAACGCCCATGGAAGCAGCAGTCAAGAAATCAAACGACCCACTGCCTTGGGCAAATCTGCTGCAAAAGACCTCTGTAAAGCGCTGAAAAGCAAAGATGCGACTTTGAAGACTAAGGTGCGCCTGACCCAAGCCATGGGGTTTTCAGTCGCCTCATACGCATGCGAAAGGTGGACAGTGAATAAGGAAGACCAAAGAAGAACTGATGCCTTTGAATTATGGTGTTGGCAAAGAATATTGACTATACCATGGACTGCCAGAAGAATGAATAAATCTGTTTTGGGAGAAGTACAGCCAGAATGCTCCTTAGAAGCAAGGATGGGGAGACTTCACCTTAAGTACTTTGGACTGTCATTAGGAGGGACCAGTCCCTGGAGAAGGACATCATGCTTGGTAAAGTAGAGGGTCAGCAAAAAAGAGGAAGACCCTCGACGAGATGGATTGACACAGTGGCTGCAACAATGGGCTCAAGCATAAGAATGATTGTGAGGATGGCGCAGGACCGGGCAGTGTTTCGTTCTATTGCACATGGGGTCGCTATGAGTCGGAACTGACCTAACAACAACAACAATAGTGCAGAAGCAGATGTTAAACAGCAAACAGATAAACGATAAGTAAGATAAATCCAAGAAGCAACAGTGCTATGAAGAAAATAAGACCAGGTGAGGATGAAGGTGGGATCGGGGGCAGTAGTGTGCAGGGTGGTCCAGGAGGGCTTCTCGGAGAAGCTGATGGTTGAGCTGAGACCAGAAGGATGAGAGGCAAAGAGCTGGGGAGAGAGTTCTGCAAGGAGCGGGAAGAGCAAGTACAAAGGCCCTTGATGAGTATGAAGTTGATGTGTTCAGGAAATTGAAAGTGAGGGAGGGCACTGTGAGAGGAGGTAGGGGAGGCCAGCAGGGGCTGGGTTGTGGGGCTCTGTCAGCTGATAGTTTTGGATTTGGGCAGCTTTTGGAAGGCTGAAAGCAGAGGATTGAAGAGGTGGAGGGAGAGACTAAGACGGGAAGGGCAGAGTGTGAGGGGTGCATGAAGCCCTCCACCTCCCACCCCTCTCCAGGATCCACTGGGGCTGAGCCTGTCTCTGCCTCCTCTGTTCTAACCTGGGTGGTGTACAGCTACAGATACTGCCCCCTGCAGCAGGAAGGGAGCTGTCCCACTTTGAGTCAGGGAATCTCCCAGGCCCAGTGAACCCTCTGGACAGAGCCGGCATGCTCTGTCCCGACTCCCAGGTGTTGGGCTTGGGATTTCCACTGCCAGTGGAGAGGGGACATCTGGCCGCCTGGGTTTCCAGGTGAAGAATCCAGAGTCTTGGAAGCCTCTGAGAATATTCCTAGTCTCCTGTCCTTTGTCCCTCATCTCTGATCAAACACAGGGACACTGGGCCTCTATTCCCACAGGCACTCAAGCCTTCCAGATCTGTACTTTGTGGGGACTTTGATGTGGGGCTGTAATTGTCCCTGCTGCTGCGACTTGGTGTCTGAGACCAGGGAACCGTAGTTACCACTCCTGCCCCTCCCCATCCATCCTCTTTTGCTGAGCAGCACGTTGTTGAACGTATCTGACTTACCTGAAGATTTCAATTGCTTATAATACTTGCCTCTGAAAACTCCCCTCCAGTAGTTATTACTTGTGCTTCATGCATCAAGTTCATCTGCTCACAATTAGATAGCTGCAGAGGCCATTCACAAGCATCTCCCACCACACTTCACAGTTTACGGCACTTTCCCAGTTTCTAGCTTATTTAACTCTTGGACATTTTCTCATGTGGCATTAAAATCTGACTTCCTTGGGCCTTCCTCAGTGGTTTCAGCTCTGCTGTCCGGGTCCACAGACCCTGCCTGCTCCTTCTGCTCAGGGACAGGAAGGCCGTGGTGGGGGCGGGAATCTTGTCCCCTGAGAGTGCCCTTATCCAGGGTGAACAGCCCTGGGCTTTATGATCAGTCTTCGTGGATCTCCCCCACCCAGCCACACTGCTGAAGTAAGCCCCAGCCCCTCACCCCTGTGGGAGTATGGCGTCCAGCACTGCTCCCCATGTGATGTGAACAGCACTGGCCCTAAATTGCCTTTCACCTCCCACTTCCTGGCCACTGTCTCTATTGATACAGCCTCAGAATGAAACAGCTTGGCCTGAGCAAGCCCACTATTATGGATTGAATTATGTCTCCCCAAAATATGTGCTGTAACTCTTAACCTCGATGCTTGTGGTTTGGAACGCTGGTGGTGCAATGGTTAAGAGCTTGGCTGCTAACCAAAAGGTCAGCAGTTCAGATCCACCAGCTGCTCCTTGGAAATCCTATGGGGTAGTTTTACTCTGTCCTATAGGGTTGCTGTGAGCTGGAATTGGAAGGGGTTGTCTTTGTTATTTTAATGAGACGGGATTAGTGTAGGGTGTATCTAGAGTCAATCTCTTTTAAGATATGAAAGAGATGACACAAATGAGCAGAGCGGAAATGAGGGATGAGAGATGCCAAGCCACATGAAAATCTCCCAGGAGCAGAAACTAAAAGGTACAGGGACCTTCCCTCAGAGCCGACAGAGAGACAAAGCCTTCCCCTAGAGCCAATACCCTGAATTCAGACTTCTAGCCTTCTAAACTGTAAGAAAATAAATTTCTGTTTGTTAAAGCCACTCATCGTGGTATTTCTTTTATAGCAGCACTAGATAACTACGACACCGACCTTGTGAATCTCACTGAGCCACTGTCCACCAGCAGTGCTATGTCGTTCGTTGAGCCCAAACATGGCCCAGCTGATGAGCCAGACCCCCCAGGAGTGACCCAGGTCATGGGCTCCTACTTGTTGCCTCCTGGCACAGCACTCTGAGAGTCTGTAGAGTGCAGGAGAGATCCTGGGCTCTGAATTCAGCCTGACCCAAGTTCGAGTCCCGTTTCTGCCATTCGGCATTGGTGTGACCCAGGGTGGGTCCCTCACCTCTGGGAGCCTCAGTTTCCCCGTAGTTAAAGTGAGGATGGTAGCACTTACCTAGCAGGATGTTTATTTGAGAGAATTAGATTCTTACAGACTGCATCAAATGATAGGGACTGCTGCTCAGGGAACAGTGTGGTGGTGCAATGGTTAGGCGCTTGGCTGCCAATCAGAAGGTCGGTGGTTTGATCTTGCCAGTCACTCCACGGAAGAAAAGACCTGGCGATCTGCTCCTGTGAAGATTACAGTCTAGGAAACCCTATGGCGCAATTCTACTCTGTCCTACAGGGTCCTTATGCGTTGGAATCCACTCGGCAGCTGCCAATAACAACTGCTCAGGGAGGAGAGAATGAGGAGTGAAGGTGCATTGACGGCACTTGTGCCATGTGCTGGCCACCAGCCTAGCTGCTTCCCCACTGGGCCCCCTTTGAGCCTAACTTCAGCCCCCCCTCCCCCACAAGGGTGGTCCAGAGAGAACACGGAAGCTGAGACTAGACCCCAGGCCTGGGTGATGACAGAGCCCTTTCTGGCCCCTGAGCCGTGGCCTCCCACCAGGTACACTAAATCTTGGGCCACCACCTCCTCTGTTTGCCAAGCGTCTCAGCCAGGGCTGGATCTGGGTCCTGGAGCCATGGAGGAGCCTCAGCTTGCATCCTCAGGCCACATTCCTGGGCTGGCCACAAGGCTCCATTCTTCAAGTTATGCAGCCATTCCCATCCTCTTTTTCTGAATTATTCATCCACTGTTGACCTAAACTCACTGCCCCCTAAGCTTCCTATTTAACTTTTCCAGTAGCTGTTGTCAGTTTGATCCCATATAGATAGTTCTTTAAAAGAGCACAATGCTCAAGGCAGACATTCTTTACTAAGTAAGCCAGACTAGTGTTTGTCCACCTGGCTTTCTGCGTACCAATTCTCTGCTGGCTGTTTCTTGACGTCTGAGGCAGAACCCTGCCTGAAGGAGTTAAAATGCCCCTCTTCCTATATCCATGGAGGTAACAGAGGGCTCAAACATAGCAATGATTGTGAGGATGGCGCAGGACTGGGCAACATTTCATTCTGTTGTACATAGGGCTGTTATGAGTCGGAACCAGCTCGACAGCACCTAACAGCAGCAACAGTGAAACTAACTCTCACCATTTCACGTCACCTTATAGTTTACAAAGCCCATCATCTCATTTAATTCTCATAGCAACCATGGGAGGCAGGCACTATTCCACCCATTGTATTGGTGAAGAAACTGAGGCTCAGAGAGGTTAGGTTAACCAGTAAGTGGTAGAGCTAGAAACATCCAGGTCTGTGCTCCAAGCAACAGAAAGAGCCCTAGACTATCACAGCTTCCTCCTGAACCCGACCTATGATTCCAGGCAAGTCTTTTCCTCGATTGGTTCCTCAGTGGCCTCGTCGTTAAATTCAGGGGATTGGGTTAGCTGGTTTCTAAGGATTCTCCAGCTCTGCTTTACACTCCTAACACAGACGGTTAATGCTACAGAGCTTAGAAGGAAGAGAGATGATTTCAGGAGGGGGTTAGTCACAGAGGAACTGGTTTCTGAATTGGGTCTTTATGGATTCCTAGAATTTATGTTGGGAGGAGAATCATTCTTCGGGGGAGGACTATAGGTGCAAAGATAGGGTGGGAATGGCCCAGGGTAAATTAAACCAAGGAATCAGGCTCAGAAAGGTGAAGTACCTTGTCCCAGGTCACACAGCCAGTCAGTGGTAGACTCAGCATCCAAGCCCAGGTCAGACTGGTCCAACCCTGTCTGTGCACTAGAGTGCTTAGTAGAAATGCTGAGGCTTAGGCCTCTGCTGCAGAGATTCAGAGTTAGTCTTGGCTCAAGCCTGTCTGGGTACAAGTGTAGTTGGACTCTGTAGTTCTTGGACACTGGTGTCCTTGCGTGCCACCCGTGGGTGTGATCACCTGCCTGAGCCAGCATCCTGTGCCTCCTCTGTGGCAAGAAGTTTGTGCCCATTGGTTGGTATGTACCAATCTGGGGCTCGGGTCATGTGATGCTAACGGGTGCCCTCTGAAAATCAGGGATTATTTGTTTCCAAATAATCTGAATGGGGAAGAGTGGGTGAGAGTTGATGACACATGTGCTGAGAACAGTTGACACTGGGGGCTAGGTACATAGAAATTCATTATACTATTGTCTCTAACTTTGTGTGTTTAGAATTCTTCATATAACAACTACTTAACCTTAAAATGTTGATAGTTCACACAAATTGAAAAATATTCATACAGGAAATAAAGCAAACCAGAAGTATCAGAAATTGTGGTTCCAGAATCCCAGGTGGGGAGACCAGCAGGTCCTGCTTCATGAGCTGGCCCTGTTCAGCACCATGGACAGCAGCTAGCAGCTCTTTGCTTCGTGATGCCTCAAATACCTTAGGGATGTCTGAGGGCAGAGAACTTGGAGGTCTTCCAGACCCATCGTATTTAGGAAGAGCCTCTTCAAGACAAAGGGCTATCCAACTTCTTCTTACACACCTCTAGGGACAAGGCGCTCACTATCCAAGGGACCATGCAGGCCTTGGTGTTCACCAAGTTTTGGCTCATGAGAAGCTTCTGTTTTCTGCTCTTTTAAGGATGTCTTTGTCAAAAATCAATTGACCATAGATGTTTGTGTCTATTTCTGGGCTCTCTATTCTGTTCTATTTATCTGTTTGTTTATGTATAGCTTTAAAATAAGGAGCTTTATAGTAAATCTTGAAACCAGGTAGTGTGAGTCTTCCAACTTTTGTTATTCTTTTTCAAAATTCTTTTGACTATTCTAGGTACTTTGCTTTTCCATATAAATTTTAGAAATAGCTTGTCAATTTCTACAAAAAGCCTGCTGGGATTTTGCTTGGGATTTTGGATTTGAGGAGAATGGACATATTAACCATGCTGAGTCTTCTAATCTATGAGCACAGTGTAGCTCTTCATTTCTTTAGGTTTCCTTAATTTCTCTCACCAATGTTTTGTAGTTTCTGGTGTACAAATCTTCCACATATTCTGTTAGATTTATTCCTAAACATTTAATGATTTTGAGTGCTATTATAAACGGTATTTTAAATTTTTCAATTTTCACTTGTTTGTTGATAGCATATAGAAACATAATCAATTTTTGCTTGTCAACCTTATATTCTGCAACCTTGCTAAACCCTTTTATTAATTCTAGTAGCTTTTTAGTAGATTTTTCAGGATTTTCTATGTATATGATCATGTTGGAGCCCCGGTGGCACAGTGGTTAAGAGCTTGACTACTAACCTAAAGGTTGGCAGTTCGAATCCATCAATCACTCCTCGGAAATCCTATGGGGCAGTTCTACTCTGTCCTATAGAGTTGCTATGAGTCAGAATTAACTCAATGGCAATCGGTTTGTGGTTTTATGATCATGTTAATAGAGGGTTTTCTTTTTGAAAAAAATTTAAAGCTATAGAAAAGTTACAAGAGGTCCAACAACTGTGATAAGCAGAATAACAGCCCTCAGTGATGGCCAGGTCCCCATACCCAAAATCTGTGAATATGTTATGTTACGTGTCAAAAGGGAATTAAGTTTGCAGGTGGAATTAAGGTTGCTAATCAGATGACCTCAAAATGGAGAGATTATCCTGGATTATCTATGTGGACCTAACGATCCTGGTGCATGCTCCATTGTCCCATCAGACTTCGCTTACAAAATACGAATTCGAAGATAAAATTATTAAGAATTTCTAGACAGTGACCATAGAGCATTAAACCCCAAATGCGGGGCCTTTCTGGGAACAAGCCATGTGTGACTGCCCTGGTCATCCATCCATGAAGCCAGCTCTGCGTCTATGTCTATGTCTATATCATCTATAGCTATCCTTCTGTCCGTTTGTTGTACTGTGGCGGCTTGTGTGTTGCTATGATACTGGAAGCTATGCCACCCACCAGTATTTCAAATACCAGCAGGGTTACCCATGGTAGACAGATGTCAGTGGCACTTCCACACTAAGACAGACTGGGAAGAAAGGCCTGGTGATTTACTTCCAAAAATTAGCCAGTGAAAACCTTATGGATCACAACAGAATACTGTCTGGTATAGTGCTGAAAGATGAGCCCCCTAGGTTGGAAGGCAGTACACAATAGCTGTAATAATGACCTCAAACATACAGTGATCATGAAGATGGTACAGGACGGGGCAACGTTTCTTTCCATTATACATACGATCACCATGAGTTGGGGCCGGCTCGACAGCAGTTACTAACAACAACAACATACTGTATATTTATGTCTATGTTTGTGTCAATGTCTATATTGTTATATAATCACTACTGAGAGCAAAATATTTCCAACACTCTATACGGTACCTTTGTGTTTATTCTCAGGCAACCTTCTCTCCTTGCCCAGAATTAATATCTATTCTGACTACCACTGTATGACCTCCATCACCATGTTAGTTGTTTAGTTGTACTTGTCCTTGACTCTGCACATAGGGGGTCGTCATGAGTCGGAATCAACTCCACGGCAACTAACAACACAACTCCAGTCTAATGTCAGCTCCAAGAGGGCCAGGCTTTTGCCTTCTTCCTAGATGTAACTTGGGAATCTGGAACAGTGCCTAGTACAGACCAGATGCTCCATAAATATTCATTGAATGAAGAAATGAATCCTTAAGGTCACTTCTAGGTGGACTATGTCATGAGTATGTGTTGAGCGCTTCCTAAACGAGGCAATCAACGAGCTGAATGAACGAACGTGCGAGTGGAGGGGATGGCACAGCGCGCTGGGGGTAGGAGAGCAGACAGGGATCTTGGGATGTTCCTGTGTGGGGACAGGTAACAGTGGCTGGGTGCGGGGTGAGGCACTGCAAGCTGTGCACTCCATGACGTTACGTTTGCTTAGCTTATTCACCCTGCGAGGGTTGGGGCGGGGCGCGGGCCAGGCGGCTCCATGATGTCGTCGCCGCGGCGCGAAGTCTCCAAGCCTCGGCTCGAGGCGCAGGCGACCCCATGACGTCACGGCCGCGGAGGGCACTGGTTTTCGGTCGGCTCGGGGCGGGGCGCGGGCGACCCCATGACGTCACGGCCGCGGAGGG